GTCCAAAATTTGGACCAATACCTAGACCCATCGGGTCCCAGGTATACCCGTCGGGTCCTGGCTCTTGTCGGATCTATTGCCACCCTATGACCATGAGATTCTTTTTTTTTTCTTTGCCTTTTTTTTACCATCTTATACTTTATGGCTATGAGTTTCTTTTTTTGCTAATAATATTGTGAATGTTGTCAATATTGTGACAATATGAACACCTAGGGCGTCCCTAAAGACACATGATTACCATCATATACCCTATAACTACGGGTAATGGCCGGGGACGGGTTGAGTATGGGTGGGTCTGGCTAGACCCATACCCATACCTGATTTCGGGTAAAAAATTTAGACCCATACCTAGGCCTGAGATCGAGTCTACCTGTCAAGTCCCAAGTCTATCACCACCTCTATGTTTGAATCTAGAGAAATATGTCAAAATACCGATTAGAGAAAGTATATAACATTTTGCCCATTTGCAGCCATTCCAACTCAAGCGGTACTTCAAATTTTGAAATTAAATCAAAAGATAAGAGTAAAGTGAAACTATTCATCTCTTATAGGTAATTCAATAAATTTCCTTTAAATCTATTAGTTATCCCATGATGTGAACTATCAAATTCCCTTGATGAAGGCTCACATTTATATGGATCTTGAAAATTTAGGGCTTAGACCCCGTCTCAACCGAAAAGGCACGAGTCTTTATCTTGGACTGCGATATTTTTGCCATTGAAAAGCACTTAAACCTAACTAACATACATTGGATTTCAGCTTCCAAAGTGAACAAATTCATCATGAATAGTGGAAATAATGTCAAAATTCATTGGTTAAGAGATAACAATGTTATCATGCTTGAATGGACAAATATGCATGAAGTACTTAGTGAAAAGCAACATGTGGCTGAAAACAAGGTAGCTAGTCTTGCGCTGTAAGCTGTTCTCTTCACCTGTCATCACTTGGCGCAATATTGATATCCCTTCCATTCTATGTGAAGTCAATTGTGGCACAATGTTTTGGATACATGTTCTATTTTGCATTTATAGGAATGATTCCTTGCACCTCTTAGAAAGATATTTTCTCTACCTTTTGGAAGTAGGGGTGGCAATCGGGTCGGGCCGACCTGGTTGGCGGATCGACATGAACCAATTTTAAGTTTGGGTTTAAATGATTTGGACCCAGCGGGTCGGTCTAAGTCTTGGTCCGGCTTGAACCATATGGTGTTGGGTCAGGTCGAGTTTTGCTCGGGGCTAACCCGACCGACCTAGTCCGTTATATATAACTACAATATGAGTTAAATAATAATATCAAAGGTAATGTTATGGTGCTCACATTATAGAGCATTTTATCATTATTTGCAACAATTTTTTAGCACTTATCAACATTTGTTTTGTAATATGATATTTTTTTAATAAAGTATTTTTAGTTATTAGGAGGGTGTGACATTATCCACATAACATGTAACATCACCCACATAGAGCATTAAATTAGTGTGCTTCATGTGGGTGATGTCACACCCCATGTAGATGATGTCCCACCCCTCCTAATTACTAAAAATACCCTTATTAAAAAATGCTCCAGATACAAAATAAAAGTATATAAATATCCAAAATTTGTTGAGTATAATTATTAAATTATATATATATACATATATATATGGTTTCTATGAGGTTGCAACCTTAAACAATGCAATTAAGGCACACCTCCAAATTTTATAATAATATATAATGTTGGTGTAAAAAAGTATTAGGATTATCTTAAAATCTAATTTTATATCGAATTATAAAATTTTAAACTCCAAAAATAGTTAAAATCAAGTAGATCTATAAATATATAAAAATCTAAAAAATGGATTGTCTAGATAATGTGTTTCAAGATGCATTATTTTTGGGACTCAAAGTCGTCTTCTTCTTTTTCTTTTTTTTTTCATATTCACACATCTCAATGTTGAGATAATCAATTAGAGGTTTTTCAACATTAAACAACATTTCCCGATAGATT